GCCCGAATGTTGTGTCCTTGTTGAAAACATCTCACACTTCACAGCAAGGAAGGAGTGAGACTGACCTCACGTCCTTGCACCACCTCCAGTTTTCGGTTTAGAGAGACATTTCATGTTTTTCTGGTTATCATGCACTGAAATTATTGTCAATTAAGTTTGTCACCACAGAATGAAGATGTTACCATCCTGCATTAAGACTTCCAAAAGTTATACACCAAGAGGCATGGAGCCTTTCTCTGCCTGTGACACCTGCCAACAGCAATAGGAAAAGAAGCACCAGAATATTAGAAACTCACGTCATGTTTGGTAGGCAGTGACTGATGTCTAGCTATGTCAGATAGTAACACTAGCACTGCTATGAACAATACATCACATTTTTATTTTGGAACTAAGGTTTTTATCTAAGCTTCTATAAATTTGTTTTTTGAGGACTTTATTCTCATTTGAATACGTGAATTCTCTTTTTCTCTAGTAAGGCAGAAAATACCTTTAGAAAAACATTTGTGTTTTTGTTGACTTATACAGTTACATAGCTTTCAGGTTTGGATTTCCTGGTAAGCAGCTGACCTTCGTGTTTCCAAGAAGTCAGGATTTTTGGAATAGCTCCTCCCCCCCCCCCAAAAAAAAAGCCAAAACAACCCACCTCCATTTTATTTCAGTGGCGATTGATTACACTGTAAACCCATTAGTCAACTTGGAAGGGACAAGTTTTGTTGGAAGCCATAATTTACGCTCAGAAATTCGTACAGTGCTTTGTGTCCATCCTGGAAAGTGTGAGTGTGACAGATATATTTTATACTCTATATCAATATCTGTACTTCTGAATAGCTTGTGACTGCCAGCTGTTTCCCAATAGCCTTTTCAGGAACAGGAGGACTTTTACTCTACTGTCCATAAAAATATGCCTCTACTGTTGCCACTAAACTTTATGTAAGCCATAAAATATCTTTTGGCTCCGACTTGAAACACAAGGAGAATGTTTGCACAGTGAACATCAGACATTGTCAATGTTAATGTGTAATGTCTGTTGGCAGAGTTGTCTGTAAAGATTTTTTAGCCAGCCAAATGTTACTTCTATTTCACTCAGAACTCGTGTCTGTCATGGGACAGTAAGAATAACAGGTTGTATTAAAATTGGCTACAGGCAGTTTCTTTTTTTTTTCCTGTTGCTAGCCTTTTGAGTAACTCCTGGCAGCAATTATATATAAAATACATTATTTTCAAGCCTTCTTTAGCTGATGGCGGATAGCACAGTGCTCTACTGAAAATCCTATGGCAATAAAAAGAAATAATTCTACACAGATGTATGCACACACATATATATACGCTTGATATAAATACCTTAATGGATAGCTTCAAAGTGACGTGCCAGGTCTTTAACAAAAATGCATAAAGGAATACTCAAGTGTTGCAATTAATTTCACCAGTTCCTGACTTATATTTGTACCCACAGTGACAACATTTGAATCCCTTTGCATTATACTTGCAGTAGAGATCTCAAGCTTTGTAATGGACAGTGTGCTAAAAACATCATCTTTGAATAGATATCAAAGCCACACACTGCAAAAGAGGAGAAACAAGCCAATAACACTTCTTCTTTTGTCAATTTTTATCTTATAAGGTGGTAAGGCTTCAGTACTTGCTATTGTGAATAACACAGCAGTAGGTGTTATTGTGCCCCTATCTATTTGTGCAGACATTTGTGCACAATTTCCAATGTATGGATGGTGTGAATATCTAAATCCTTCAGATTTTTAATACAGACCTATAAACCAGGCCTGTAGCCTATCCTCAAGCAGTGGCACTGATTCGTCAGTCAAAACATTCAAATGAAATGTGGTTGTCCAGGTTAGTCATTATTCTATAGGACACTGAGGAGCAGACTATTGAACAGAGATATTTTGTAATAGGGTTTTCTGAATCTTTATTCAGCTGCTTTTACCAGGCTTGAAGATTTGGATAATATATGAAAGTAACAGACTGGAAGAAATTCACTAGTGGAATTCCTGCTCAAGAATCTGTCTTCAGATTGATTTAAAGTGTGTTTTTAACAATGATTCTTGTGTAGATGTGCTGATGAAGTCTGCTGCGCATAAAGACAACAGGCATTGTCAGTACAAAGGAGTAGTAAAATATATCCAAAATAGAGACCCATAAGAACTGAGAATAAAGGTAAATAAAATTTACTAGTTTGAAAAGTATATCCATGCATATGAGAAATCCTAACATTAACTTCTGCAAGGTGAGAACTCATACAGTGGGAAGGCTTTAGGTATACAAGTTGATAATAAGATGACTACGGTTTCCTGAGAGATAGAGCCATAAAAATGCAAATGCAATCTTTCAAAGCACTGCAAATTATTTCCAATAGAGAGGAAAGTATGCTAATATTGTAATTGCACAAAGTGTTTTTCAGCTCTCTGCTGGAACACCATGCACAGTCCTGGTCACTTGTATTCAGTGTAAAACCAAACCCAAGCCAAACAAAGGAAAAAAAAACACCACCACCTGATATTAAACTTACAGAGGAGAAGGGGTGCCAGGCACATCAGGATTTCTCATAAGAAAAAAAATATAAGGTATGTTCCCTTAAATCAGTTATCTAAAGCTGAGATCCTTTCATAAATATGCCAGGGAAGTAAACAGCATGGAGGGAGAAAAATTAGCTCCCAAAAAGTTGAATATGAGCCAGAGAATGTGTGGCTATAAACGTACTTTGAATAGACTGAGAGTTCAGGAGAGGTTCCTAGTACAGCAGTCAGGCCTGGGGCAGTAAGAAGGTAGTAAAGTGACCCTGGACACTCCTTATGGTCCTTCCAGGTGTGTGCTCTTAAGAGTAGTTAGCAGCATCCAAAAAGGAGAAAGCGCCCAAATAGTTTAGCAAGATGCACAATGGTCCAGTTTTAGGTGGACTTTGGAAATCAAGCCTATCAGTACTTTTAGAAAGAAGTACGTTTACCCCACACTGCAACAGCTAGTACACAAGCTCAAGTGGGTACTTTCAAGTTTCAAGTTCTGAGATAGCAGTTGCACGTGGTGCTTTAAACCATGGAGGAGGTTGTATCTTTGTGCAATCTTCTGTGTGTATATCTTTTTACAGTTTTGGTTGGGAAGGACCTTCAAGACCATCTGGTTCCAACCCCTCTGCCATTTACAGGGACACCTTCCCTTAGACTAGGTTGCTTTAAGCCCCATCCAGCCTTGCAACATTTTCATATGTTTTTCACCTTTGCTTCACCTAAACATCTCTGGATCATGAACGGACATGAGGTTCTGTTCTTACAAGACTTCTGCACTGTTTGTTCCTATTTCACAATTGAGAGACCACAGTGGAAGATAAATTTAATGTAATTTGCCTATAGATTTCCTCAGAGAAGTCAGAAATTCAAACCAGACTTTGGAATCTTTACTTGGTGTCCAACCTTGTAGGCTATTCTTTTGTGTTTAAACAGGTGAGAGTGTGCTGTGGCAGTGGGAAATCAGCAGTTGACGTTGATATAACAGTACAGGTGTTATAAACAGGAGTTACGTTTTGAACATATTTTCCCACAATGAAAGATGGACATATCAGTCAATGTGCCCCAGGTCTACCTACCAAAGCAGAATGCCATACATTTGACCATGTAGTTACTGCTTGCATTTAAACGCAGAAAGTACAAAAGTATTAGAAATCTATCTATATATCCTTTACAGCAACTTTAGACGTAATTCTATATGGTGTTTTTCATAGTGACTCATTCAAGGTGTTCAGTGTTTTTTATATCCATTCTCATTATTTAACTGGGTTTATGCTTACTGCTCATTGAGAAGTGGGCAGCAACACAGAAATAGTGCGGTGGTGACTGAACCTTCCCTTCACACCACAGGAGAGAAGCAAACCCATGAAAATAGAAACAGAATGCAGGAAAGCACCATGTTTGGAACATGCTGAATAATAAAGTTAATTGACTTAAATAATCAGCACTGCAAACCCATATTCAGCTGCAGCATATTCATAAGGCGAAAATTGGGCCCCAAAGCTTTGATCTGTCTTGAGCTCCTCCCCTGAGAGTCAATAAATGAGGCATTTTTTAAGAAATGCTTTGTAACTGAGTCACAGGTTTTAAAACCACCAGGAAAGTATAAGCAGCTCATGCACTCGCACTCACTACTGTACTCGTACACCTGGGCAAGCAATGGGATTCTTCACATAATCATGTACAGCCTTATTTATTCTGTGTTCTTCTGCAAGTATGTGCACGAGTAGCTAATTCAGACAGATAGGCCAGAGCCTAATCCCCAGATTCAGGCACTCCTGAGCTGCGGAGTGTTCAAAATCCAAATCGGGGCTTTACAGCTTGAGCCCTTCTGTAATATTTATTCAGATTTATGATAAATGTAGCACTTTAGAGCTAATTCTTGTTCGTAATGTAGCCATTGCTCAGTCACCACTATAGAGTATAAATATCACGCATTTACCTTTGAGCCTGTAGACATTTAAGCTTCTGTGCTCTTCAGGGCTTTATTTATTTATTTATGCCTTTGCTTGTTTGATAGATGGCAGCAGATAAATGTTTCCTAACTGGAGATGTCTCATTAGTTTTTGCTTCTAGTATCATCTGTCATATGACAGCAAACAGGGAATTTTTGCACATTGGTATGACTATATCGTGTTTTCACTTATAGCTGCTTCTGTGTCTTCACAGGTGAGGTGATACATAAATACACCCTTACCCTTAAATACTGTCTTCAAAGAAAATGCATTTACTTTATATATATATATATATATATGTATATATAGTAGTAAATGGATATAGTATAGGGCTCTGGTTAAATATCACATATAAATATATGTAATATATATAACCGGAGCCCAATAGTTTTGTCATTACAGCCCCACTATTCTCAAAGGAGAGAGCAAGCTTGCTCTGTGATATAGAAGGTGGAGACTGGGAAGCTGGATCTGCTAAGCCTTGCCTAATGCAAACTGCTTTAGTATGCACATCACATCATGCCGGCTATACTGCAGGGAGCAGGCAGTTATCGCACAAGCGTGCATCCTCAGAGCCAGGATAAACACTCCGTTACTCTCCCTCTAAACTGCTCTTCTGGGAGGGAGAGAAAATAAATAGGGAGCGAGAGAGGCATTTGAAGTAACCTTCTTAAGGAGGAGGAAGCAGCCAATAGAACCTTTTTTCTTTTTTTGTTGTGTTCTTTTTTTTTTCTCCCCCACTTCTTACTAAAGAAATTCGTGTTACCTCAGCAATTAAGGAGAAGAGCCAGCGTCTAGGGTTCCAGGCTGTGAGGGGGAGTAGCAACTTGTACCAGGTAGGAAGCCCTTTCAACATACTCTTTAATTCATGCAGCTCAGTTACTACTTGCTCTGTTTCTATGTAGTGTCTGACTTCTGGAGACCTTGTGTCTGCTTGTCACCGTTCCCCGAGTGAAAGAGACCTGGGGGAGATTTAATTGCCAATGACCTTCAGGGTATTTCTTGGAAAGACACTAGTACTTAGTGCTGTGAAGTAAAGCAATCTATACTTTCGTCTGACGGCTTAGAAGTGTGCATCAGGATGCAGCTGGGTGAAACTGCAGCTGTTACCCGTCTACGAAACCATGTCACAAATGAGTAAAAATTAGCCATTTTATAATAACCAGAGCAGCTGCTCTGCGTTTTTAGCAACACGGCTGTATTACTTTCCAAAACTTATTACCATACATTTCTTTTGTGCTGGAAAGCAAGCAGATATGCCTTAGTGTATTTAATGGTATTTTGACAGTTATTTACTGTATTTTCATAGTCACTCATGCATATTTTATAGAGACTTTTCTAAACTTTCCTGAGGCAGCCATATCTTATGTGGTAGATTAATATTTGTCCTAAGAAATAATTAGTGTGATAATTGTAGTGAGCTGGTTGCAATGTTTGCTTTACAGTATTGCAGACATCTCCTGCAGCATTTGAGGGCTGGGTGGGATGGAACCCCAGCTCGCACAGGCTCATCTGCCTTAGTACTACAGGACTGAGGGGAAAGTGAGGAGGAGGAGAAATCTGTAACTGGGTTTTGCGATCTCCTTATGCAGTGTTTTATTCCCTAGTACTTTGCGCTCATTCCCATGACTGAATTGTTAGATGACATCGGTCCAGTCTTTTTGTATTGTGACAATAATGCGACTTAAGTTCATTAAAAGCTGAAGTAGCATTTGCATGCAATGAAGAGTTCGGAGCTTAGGAATCAGACCTGCAAGGATCACCACCGTGTCTGTGAGACTTCACTGTCTGATCAATTTAAGTGCCTGTCTTCCATGCAGTAAGGGAGTTGGAGGCAAACTTTTTCAAGCTTTAACATTCTCTTCTGTAAATCAGACCAGTGATAGTGAAATCTTAAGGGTAAAATATAGATGTGTTTTTGAAGTGTAAGCAGTGGTGTGAGCAAGTATGTCTAAAGATTCAGCTCCTTGCAAGAAAACCTGAAAATAATGCTCAAAACAGAGCTTAGGCACCACTGCTGTAGTAAAAAAATAAATACTGAAAATAGCAGAGCTCTCTTGGATGACTGTACCCACACAACCTCTTCTTGTGTGCAATTGCTCTACGCACAAATAGCTCCATATATTTTGTTTAAAGGTATCTTGTGACTCTTATTGTAGGAAGAACTATAGAAGATGTCCAAACCTGGAGTCTTTTTTCTGATGAGCATAATGAAAAAAAAAAACAACCAGTTCTCAGAAAATGAGAAATATATCTGATCGTGATGAAACCTGAGGAGCTGAAACAGTTTAGAAAATTATAGCTGTGAAAGGGAGGTAAGATCCAGTTAGTGACCAGGGTTGGCTTGAGGACCTAGTAAATGATGAGAAGAGTTTTACCCTTTGTTTTATCTGTTCTGAGAAATTCATCCTCAAAAAGTAACAATTGGATTAGCAACTAAGGCAGGAAGAAAACCAGACTGGGGAAGCAATATCTTGCCTCCTTTTATTTTTCTTGATATATGAAACATGTGATAAAGAAAATGAATGGTACTCATGCCCTTCTGGGTTTTGTTTTTTTTTTTAACAGATATATATTTGATATAAAACTGAAGTCAAATGTTACCTTAAAGAAAAAATCGGGGTGGGAAAGGAAACAAGTTGAACACTTTGAATGTCACTAGAAACTCTTAGAAAATTCAGGTTTCACAGAAGTTTAAGGCAAAGCACAGCTGGTTGGTGTGGCTGTATAGTGCTGGCTGCATTTTGTGGGGGTTTTGTTTGTGGTTTGGTTTTTATTGTTGTTTGGTTTAGTTTGGGTGGTTCTGGGTGGTTTCTAAGTGAGGGGGTTTTTGGGGGGGGTAATTGGGGGTTTTGTTTGTTTTGGGGTTTTTTTGTAGGTGGTTTTTCTTTTTTTTTTTCCCAAAAAAGAACTGTGAATTGACTCAGGCTTTCCATTTTGGATTGACTTCAGGTTTTATTATTTATTTCTTAGTTCATTCTCATACTTGATAACTCTGAGGGACAGGAATCGTCAGAGACCTGTGCATTGGGATACACAGGTTTCTTAGCTTGGTACTGCTGGCAAGTCACTACCTTTCTGTGCCTCAGTTTACTCACATGTAAATACAGGTGTTGGCAGCTGCCTGTTCAGAACCATGCTGCATATCTGAGTTTCTTGAGATTATCCTCATTCACACTAGTGGTGCTTTATGTAGATTTGCTTTTTTGTGACTCTAGTTCACCTTTTTTGCTTATAAATTTGACTTAAATAATTTTTTGTGGCGTGTTGTTGCTCATGCTACTAAAAGCCTGCTGAACACTGTGACCTTCATGAATAAAATCATATTTCATTTATAAAACAGGTAGCATGAATCAAGTTATCCTTCATCCCTACCCTGGAAGTGACTACCAGGGCTTGTGGGATGGCCCTGTCTCATTAGGAATCTTGTTATCTTTAACAAGACCCCCACAGGAGTCACTGCTAGCAAGTCTACAATGTCTACGTATCTGAAAGTATAGATCAGACTTACTGTCCCATAAACTTTATGATTTCTTAACAGAAATGGTGTAATTGGTTATGCTGAGGTGTTTTTAACAGAAAAATAATTTGACTACTATAGGAACTATGAGCTGACATCCCTGTTCCTATGCAGCCATGTGTGGGTAATGCCTTATGTTGGTGGCTTTGACCAAGGCTCTCTACTCCTCTATTAGTTCCCAGACCTGCTCAGTGATATTCCTTTTGGTATCCATGGGGTAGAGTACTGGGACTCCTAGTGCCATAAGAAATAAAAGGAAGCCTCGGATTTGTGAAAGCACAAGCAATTGATGTTTCTTTTTTACAATTTACTACATCAAGAAATTAGCCTGACTGGAGAGTGTTGTTTGTACAAGGACTATCCAAATGCAGTGTTTGAAATTCTAGGTGTTGATATAATTCTGTATTATTATGGGTCCCCAGAGTGGCCATTATCTTTTGATCTAGCTTTAGTTAATTTTAATAACCTCCTTGATTTTTGGAAGCAGAACGCTGAACACACAGTCCCACTAATGCCTGATGACTGCAAATTTAACGTGAGGATTTCCAAACAATCTCATAGTGTGCTTTTGAGGGCTGCACAGTTACACTGAACAGACATGTCCATGCTCAGGCATATATTCTTTCTACTGTGAGCATGAAGAGTATGAGACCAGATTTTCCTTTTTCCACTCTCCACTGATCTTCACTAACATTTTTCCAAATGAACACTTGAAGACAGTCAGGGATTTTTGTACTTTGCTTTCTATGTATGCAACGAATTAGAATTACTGGTTGAACTCAGGGGTTGAGGATTAATGGTAAGGCTGAGTAACATGACTGTCACTGGACTTCACTGCCAGTTTTAAGAAAACAGTAAGTTACTTAACAGCATGCAACTTCTGAGATTTATTTAGGCAACAATCCCCAAGAAACCAATCATTATTAGTAATTTGCTGGTTTGTTGGTTGCTGGACCGTTAATGTTCCAACAAACTGACTGGTAACTGAAGTAATAGTAACAGCAAATTCTGAGTTGGGTATTTGCTGTGTTTCATGTGATGTAACTTCAATCTGTCCTTCTAGCTTTTTAGCAGCTAGGGATTCATTAATTTCTGTTAGTGCCTTTTGATGCTATGTGGAAAAGCCATGATGTTGGAGCTGGATCTGTAACACATATATGACTATACTTCAGACAAAAGGGGTGAAATTTGTTGGGTTTATTCCCTGAAAATTTATTGCATCTTTTTCCAAGACACATTATGCTGTACTATTATTTAAATTATAATAGTAAAAGCCTTATCTGAGTATAATAATTTAAACAAAATTATAGCTTTGTATAGAAACACATTCCTGATCTGATTCAATCAGTCCTGTTAGCATTGTTTAGCACAAGGAAGTTCTTTGACACAGGTCATTCTTATGGAAGGGAGAACTGGAAAAAAATATCTTGGAATGTTTTGGCCTTCTTATTATTCTCAGCCATGTTCTGAATTCAAAATTTAAATCAAAACTGAATGGCAAGAGACCCAGAAGATAAACTGGAAGCTGAACAGCTGCTATTTTCAAAAGTTCATTTAAAGTTCCAGGTTTATTTAATGTTGTAATTCTATTTCATTGTTTTATTTTTCAGTGGCCAGAATAAAAGCCAAAGAAACAAGGTGGATAATATTATTTCTTTTAAAGCACCACAGCTGTTTTATCTCTGTGGGCTTTGTTTGCATGATCCAGAAATCATCAATAGCTTAGGGTGTAAATATGCATGTGTTGACTTCTTGTTAATGGAACTGAGGTGAGCAGCTCTACTAAGGCTGATTAGAACCATCACAAAATCTGTCATGCTACAAGGAAATGAAGGAAGATGGATTTAGGTCAGTATCTAATATGCCCCACATACAACGTTGGCAGGGAAAAAAAAATATCAAAAGTTAAATATGTAATCTCAGTAATTTAGAATAAAAAAAAAAACCCAGACACTGGCTTATGTCAGTCTTTAGCCTGAATCTTACCTAGTACAGAAAATTATCCTAATTTTCCAAATAAAAAGGAAATATCGCACAAGTACTTGTACCATATTGGGCACAAAACCTCCTGAAAATCAGAGGCTTTTAGTGTATGTTTTATGAAAACATGAATCACCCTTTGTACAGTTCACAAGCTCTTGTTTTAATATCTATTTTAAGCAACTGGGCAGTGTCAAAGTTGACGGCTTTTTCCAAGGCTGGTAAAATTTGTCAGGATTAAGCCTCCTTGCAGCTCCTTGGAGAGCTGCAAGGGAGGCAGAGAGATGGAAAACCGATTTTGATTATATTATGGTGCATTGGTTTGGTACAATAAAC